GGTCTGCCAGAATTCAGAAAGCTTTAAAGCTTCATTTAAGACTACATTTAGCTTTTCTTTGAATGTTTATTTAATACTGCTTTCCTGAAAAAGTGGTCATGTAATTATTATCCAACATAAGTAGGTTACTTTAGCTATTAAGTTGGTAAATAGAAGCATAGGAGCTTCTACAGTTCTGAAGGTCACTACTAGAAAAGAAGTGTCACGCATCTGAACCATGGAGACAGGGTTTAAAAACAAGCCATTGACTCTAAGAAGACAATTTTACAGCATTTAAAACTAAACAGTCATTAAGGAGACGAGTTTGTATCCTAATTTCAGACAGCAATTCAAAATGGAACAATTTGCATTGCATTCTCACACTCATCATTAATCAGGTAAGAGCCAGAAGGAAGAGACTACAGGTTTGCTGACCAGCAGCATGCAGCTTGACTGGGCCATCAGAAGCAGTGTGGGTTAGGACCATGGAGCCCTCTGGGAGCTAATGCAGCAGGGTGAATTGTGTGCAGTTTCAGGGTCAATTTACCTTTGCATAAGCTGGTGCTGTTGTCTAAAGAGTTGGTTTTACCTTTTCAAAGCTATTTGTTACTAACTTGTGCCACCCCCTCCCTTGGACCAGCACCACCCCTTGGTGTGTGTGGCTGTTGAGTACAATGGGTAAAGGACAGGTCTAGATTACTTTTTTTTTTTTTAAACCTGATTTTCACAGATTAAAACCATTCATATAAAGCAAAACTTCTTCACCTGCTAATGTATAACTTTAAGCAAAACTTTGTGTTCATACTTGAAGACAGAATTAGCCAAGATACAAAGACACATGCTGCCAACTGTACAAAAGTCTTCCTTTCATCTGACTTCCTCTGTGCTCTCAAACATCTGGGACTCTTGAGGGCTGGCTTTACTAGTAAAAACCAAGGCAAAGCAGGCATTCAGTAACTTTGCTTTCTCTATATTCTCCATCACCAGGGCACCGACTTCACTCAGCAGTGGGCCTGTATTTCCACTAGTCTTCCTTTTGCCTTCAGTGTACTTAAAGAAGCCTTTCTTGTTGTTCTTGACCTCCCCTGAGAGTTTTAATTCTAAGGAGGCCTTAGCTTTCCTCATTGCATCCCTACATCCTCTCACAACTTTCTTCTATTCCTCCCAAGCAGTCAGTCCCCTTCTCCATGATCTATAAACTTCTTTCTTCCACTTGAGTTTGTTCAGTATCTCCCTGCTCAACCACGCAGTTCTCCTGGCTCTCTTACTTGATTTCTTGCTCTTTGGGATGCTAAGATCTTGACATTGGAGGAAATGGTGTTTAAATACTAACCAACTCTCTTGGGCCCCCATACCTTCTAGTACCCTATCCCATTGGACTTCACCAAGCAGTTCCTTGAAGAGGTCAAAGTTAGCTCTTCTGAAGGCCAAGGCTGTGAACCTACTAGATGCTCTGTACCCTCCACATTTGATCCTAAACTCCACCATCACATTGTCACTACAGCTAAGGCTGCCCCAAACCTTAATGTCTTCCACCAGTCTCTCTTTATTTGTCCAGCAGTACACCTCTACTTGTTGGCTCCTCCACCACCTGAGTCAAAAAGTTACCATCAATACACTGGAAGAACCTCCTGGGCTGTACACGCCTGGCTATGTGTTCTTCCCAGCCAACATTAGGGTAATTGAAGTCCCCCATAAGAACCAAGGCATGTGACTGTAAGGAGACCCTCAGCTGCAGAAGGCCTCACCGACTTTGCCACCCTGATCAGGTGGCCTGTCGGAAACATCCACAACAGTGTCTCTCATATTAGCCTGCCCATTAATCCTTACCCACAAGCTCTCAACCCACTCTTCATCTGCCCCCAGGGAGAGCTTGATACATGTCAGTTGCTCTCTCGCATAGAGAGCAACTCTACTACCTTGTCTTGCTGACCTATCTTGCCTAAAAAGGACATAGCCATCCATTACAGTGTTCCAGTCATGTGAGCTATCCCACCATGTCTCAGCAACTGCAATGAGATCACGGCCCTGTGACTGCACACAGATCTCCAGTTCCTCCTGTTTATTCCCCATGCTGTGTGCATGGGTGTATAAGCATTTCAGAGAGGGAAAAATTCTAGCAGCGCTGAACTCATACATGTAACATAGGTAAAGAGTAGTTTTCTCTTGAGTTATTTTGAGTCATCCTTTCCAAAGGCAAACTGGTCGTGAAGAGCTGGTGTGGCAAAGAGTGCCATCTAGAGGACTGCAACACCAAGACAGATGTTAGGCTGGGAAGTCATTATTGATAATTGACAGTCAACAATTGCTGGGTTTGCTTGCCATAGCTGTATTTTAGTGGCTCTGAAAGACTTCTTGGTTTTATTAGGTTTCTGTTTTGACAATGATATACCGTACTTTTTATACTATAAAAAAATTATGTAGGAAAATAGTTGTTTTGAGGAAGGGGATAATTTTCCTCTTTAATTATAATAAATTAATTTCAGACAGCATTATTTCTTACAGCAAAGTACACAGTTTGACAACTCTCTTCTAGAAGGTCTCTTGCATTGTAACCCACTCCCATTGAAGCAAATAGGTGTTTTGTCACTGCTTTCAAAGTGAGCAGGACTTCATCCACAGTAATTACGTTTGTATACCCACATGCATACATATCTAAATACATACATCTGAGCAAAGTTCACTGCAAGCACAATATTCTCTCCTTCCTTTCCTGGTCACTACAATAAACTTGCTCTTCAGGCAAGCAGACCAAACTAAGAGCTTTCAAAGGAAGTTTCATCAACATTAACAGCACGCCTAGGGCCCAATTCTGTACCCCACTGAGATATTCCTAAAAAAAAAAAAAAAAAAGGTGTAAAAGTTAAGCTTTGCAATTAACATTTAAGCCTGTAAAAGCCTTGGAGAAATATAGTCAATGTTTATGTACCTGGAAACTTCACTACAGTGAGGTATATTACCAGAGTTCAGCTGGACTGCCTTTCACCTTTGAAGTCTTGGCCCCAGGAGACTGATGAGCTAAAATGGGAATATGGAGCTATTTCTCCAGCTTGCAACTAGCCACCAGCTGTTCACCTTCTAAATGTATTCATTTCTCCTCTTTTGCATCTCCAAACTGTCCCTGCCTTTTCTTACAGCGCTCTTAACAAAGAGCCAGTTCTAACCATTAGACTGAAGAAGCAAACATCAAGGCAATGGGTAAGAGGTTTTGGAGCAAAAAGTGGGGGAAAATCCCACCACCTCAGCTATTATATGCAATGCATCATCAAACTGAGGTACACTAACACAGGCAAAGCACTTCTCAGCCTTTTTCCTGACCCTAGAGAAAAACAAAAATCTGAGGAAGAGCTATGTGGCAACAACAGCAGTTTTTACATTCTCACCTGTGCAAGTTGTAATTTTCACGCTAAAATGAAACTATTTTTAAAAAGCCAATACTTTCCTTTAAACCCTGACCACCCAGATTTATTTTGTTTAATTCTCATTTTCACTGTAACATTAAATTAAGTTTTCTAAAATATATATATCCTACTTATAGGAGACATGCTTCACTTGTTTATATAGAGATAATTTCCTTTCTCTACAAAGTAAAAAATATAGTACCTTACTGAAGACTGGAATGATTTTGTACA